TGTGTGGTTCTTTCTACGATCTATGATAAACATGTCAGCCAAATTTAAGTTTGCTATCACGTTTTTTTTTTTCCACGTGCAATTTTCAATGGCGTCTACCTGCACGGGTGCCCGCGTTGCTAATTAAGCGTTTGCCGCGTTAATGTCCAACGTAGCCAGTCAAGATTCAATTGGCTCCGCGGCGGATTAATGGAGCGTTAATCAACATGCTAATTAGCTAATAAGCCGTTAATTAAATCAGGCGGTTGCGAGGCCCGCTTAAGCTCGTCGTAGCACACAAGCGATGACGACGACGTCCATTTGAAACGTCTCCACGGGAAAGCGCCGAGCCGACCGCGGCCCCGAGCGTGCCGCCTGACCCCGCCCACCTCGGCCCTCTACAAGGCTAATTTCTGGCGAGCGGTGACACGACGCGGCGGGATCAATGGCGCCGCTTAGCCCCGCTGGCAGAACGCCAATAAGCATCAGTGAATCATTTGCCGGCGGTAACGGGAAATCAATACACTAACTTGACCCGAGCCGAGTGCCGATTCTTCTTCTCTTTGGTGGACTCGTGGGACTCTTTCAAGTCGACGTCAGCAAAGTTTGGGTTACCTTGCGCTTATCATTTTAACAATCATTTTCGGGATTATGAATGACACCAATTGTTGGTGCCCGGTTCTGGGTTCATGAACTTTCTCTATGCGCATTAAAAATAATGCTTAATAATATATATATACATTTTTAAATCAACCCAAACAAATACATGTATTCTTTATGTATCTCATTTTATTATCTCATGCAGAATTAAATGTTAATAATCTTCGTTATGCACCCCCCCCACGCATTTTTTTGACTATTGTCATATGACGTGCTCAACTGGTGCTTAATTTAGAAAACATGTTTAACGCTACTCAACACACACGCACGCACGCACGCACGCACGCACGCACGCACGCACGCACACACACACACACACACACACACACACACACACACACACACACACACACACACACACACACAAAAAAAGATTTCATCAAGTGACTTCTGAGGTGCCTGGACTTACAAGTGACCCGAACAAGCAGTTTCTTAGCCCAATTTTTTGTCTTGGGTAATGACCTCACGTTGTGTTTCTTAGTTTTACGTCGGTGATCACAGTAAATGATTTGGGTATCAAAATCTCAGTCTTGTTTTTGTTGTTCTATAGCCTGAGGTGTCACCTAAGCACAAAAATAGATTAAAAAAAAATCATATGTAGTGTCAAAATCACTGTTCAGCTCGACATGTTTCTTGTTTTCTCCACTTTTGGGTCAAAAACCATGTTTTTGATGAAACCAACCCATGTTCTACTTCTGAGTACCCTCCCAAAAAACCAAGACAAACAAAATTTTTCCCCCGCAGTGAAAGTAGAGTCCATTCTTTCTTTCGGAAGGCGCCTAGAGTGTCAGAGAGGACAATATTATTCCGCGAGTCTTGGAAATTGCGTCCAAATGCTCCAAAACGGCTGTCAGTCTTAACTTAGGAGCATGGACAAGGAAGGAAGTCAACTCACGAGTCAAGGCAGGACTATCTGACGAAGCCCTTGCTTCTGACTCCCCCCCCCTCCCCGAGGCAAAGCGGGCCACAGATCAATACATTTGATGGCGGGGCGGCCCTCCGAAGCCATAAAGGTTTACTCTGGAACAGCTGGGCTGGCGCGCGAGCCGAGCTTGTCTGACTAATGAATCGTGAAACAATCAGGCCGTCGCCATTTGTGTTTAGATCTGTAAATATGGCGGCGTACAAGTGCCAGACCAACGCCGGCGCTCCAGCTGGGGCCGCAGATGGTCTGGATGGCGAGGCAAAGCTCCCGCTTTGCCCTCCCGCACGCCAAGCTCCGGTGCCGCCGCCGAGTGACAAGTTCACTTTACGTGCTAACTTAGCCCGCCTGGCGCACGTCGCCAGCCAACACGCGCTTCACCTAATTAAAAAAAAAAAGAAAGGGCAAAACATTATTTTTTTAAATCCTTAAAGATAAAATCCTTAAAAGACAGACAAATTAAGCCCCTAGAGTTACAAAGGTGGGTGGTTAACTTCTTTTTACACTCAGAATGATCAATGTAAAAAAAAAAAAAAAAAGTTTATTTTCAAATGGAACAAATAAAAGAAATTATATATTTTCTTGATTCATCATGTCGTTATTATATTCTTTATGTAACTGATTATTTCTAATGTATTTGCTTACTGTGTTACTCTATCATTATGTCATTATTATTAGAATTATAATCATAAATTTTATTGGAAAAAATTACATTTCATTTGGTTTTTAATTACACTTTTTTCCACTTTTTATAAAAATAGATTTGATTTTTTTACATATCCGATTATTGACTATTTACTGTGTCATTAATTTTTTTTTATTAGAAATAAAATTACATGATCAAATGTTATGATTTGGTTTTTTACTTTTGTTGTTCAAACGTCAGTACGCTTTTTAAAAATGCAAAAATATTAAAAATGTAAGAACGTTTTTCGGGGTTAACTGGTTTTTCATAAAAAAATAAGTTTTGTACTTATGACATTTTTTATTTCGCGGATTATTCATGTATTTTATTTCAAATGTGACTGTTGAAGTATTTGTTTTTATAGTTTCATTCAAAACTATCAGGAAAAAAATGACAGTCATATTGTGATTTTATTTTCATTTTGATTTTTCCACCTTTCAAACTTTTACACTTGGAAAGAAAAAAGCGCCGCTGCTAAGTTGTAGGGCCCTTCAAAATAAAGAAAGAAAGACAAAAACAGACATTGATTGACAAACATTTTTGTTGTTTTTGGGAGGCGGGAACGACCGAAGGACATTTGCATTCATTTCAATGTGGGCATCTGATTTGAGATGGAAATGTTTTGATCGTGGTCACTGATCGAGTTCAAGACGTATCTCAAAGTGCCGCTGTCGCGCGTTTGATCCAAACGCAGTCAACAGACGAAAGAAATCAAGTTCTGGGCGGGACATTTTAAGGCGCCTGCGCCGGCACTGAAGTGCTGAAACGCAGCTGCTACGACGACGCCAGTGACCTTAAACACAGCACGGCGACACCTTTTTTTTTTTTTTCGCCTCCATTTGGGACCTGCCGCCCTTGCCCCCCCTCCCCCTTCCCCGCTCCTCGGAAATGGAACGTTAACTGTCCCGACCCTCGCTAGCGGCAAACGGCTTAACTAAACTGTCAGCTCTCATAAAGCCAATAAAAGGATCAGATAAATGTTTATTACGGAGCGGGAAAAGATCATTTTCTGGACAGAAATTGAGGATGACCTTTCCGGATAATTCCAGCCCCTCACCTCCCCTCTACCATGCCCCCAAGACCCCCGCTCCCCCCACCCCCAATCCCTCCTTCTGCTGTATAAATCAGCAGTGGCTCCATTTTGTTTCATGGCTGATGAAGCCTTGCTGACGTGGGACTGCCACAGCTGTGACGTTTGTCCCCGCGCTCACAAGACCGGGAACTCCGGGCGGGCCGTGGCAGTTGCAAAGGTATAGGTAGACGGGTAGGTAGCATTGGTCAGGAAATAGTCGGGGGGACGGGTCGGTCGGTCGACAGGCCCGTCGGTTCGTAGGCAGGCAGGCCGCTCAGCAAGTCGGTGAACAGGGAAGAAGGTAACTGTCGGAAGGTCGTGTTCGTCGACAGGGAGGAAGGAGGTAGA